ACACACAGACAGACAGACACAGAAGATTTCTTGCTTTATAGATAGTTACATTGTTCAGTCTCGTGTTTTTGGAGTATTTGTTTTTGCTCATTAGGGATGAGCAAGTACACCATCATCTGTATCTATTCAACCGACTAAATTATCTGTATATGTATCAGTACTCTTTATGGGTGGGGCTTAAACTGGACATGGGTTAACGTGGGTGGGGCTAACTTTAAACCTGAAATTGATCAGAATTTGCTGTATTTAATAGAAAGCTATGTACGGAACAGCCTCAAAATTGAGCTTCAGAGCAATGTTTTGATCACATGACTTAAAGAGTTTATACAATTTACACGAAAGTTTGTTTTATAGAAGTTGCTGATGTTCCTCGGATGATACTCATAAAAAGTGCAGTCGAGTACTCACTCAATCCTACTGCTCTTGTTTTAACAACTACAAAACAAAACATGGAACCAATACCAATTATCCATCATACTTTATTTATTTTGCCAGCATGGATGTAAAATAGGTCATAAATTGCATTCATAATGGTCTTAATAACGTTTTATAAATTGAACCTGCAGAAACCCTGATTTAACAAGGGCTTTGGTATGAAGTATGTGAGATGCTAAAGCCCTGCTACAGTGGGTTCTCCTGTATTGATTCTCTAAATAAAGCCTGTATAGAATGGTGTTTTGTATCGTCTTTGCTGAGCTGAACACAGTTTTGTTAAGTAAAATTAAAGATTTTTTTGCTCCTCAGAGTGTTGAAGTCCTCCTCATTTAGCTGCAGCTCTTTGAAAAATACTTAAAAGGCAATAATAAGAATAAATTAAGTTGATTTTCCTGTTCACTGATTTGTTATTCAGTGTAGAAAATAATAAAGTGAGGAGAGTCAGATGGAACCCTACAGACGGTGGAGTGGAAGAGGAAAAGAAGACCCCGTCGCAGTTGTTGATCTGTGAGACAGAGAGAGGGAAGAGAGTGAAAGAGGAAACTGAACACAGGGGGAAGCAGACACACAGAGAGAGAGAGCATTCACCATGAGCACATGAGAATCAGAGAGACTGAGAGAGAGAGAGAGAGAGAGAGAGAGAGAGAAGTGGGAGGGAGAGGGAGGGCAGCAGAGGGAGAAAAAAAGGCTTAATTAATTCAGGGTGGATGGGAGGGATGTTGCTGCTGTCCCTGCCGAGGCTTCAGTGCCTCTGTTGTCGTGCTGCTGTATGTAGCCGCGTGTTTGTGTGAGCAGAGAGGACGACTCGGCTGCTGCTGCCTGCTTACTGGGAACCAGACACCAGTGCAGCCCAGCCACGACTCCACATCCTGGAGCCCCGCTGACTGACTGACTGACTGACTGGCTGGGTCTTCACTTAACAACCAAACAGGGATGTTACATGGACTATAGTGGGAGCAGCAACAGCCAGAGGTAGGGAAGACTTTCTCTGTGAATACTCTTCCTGTACCTCTTCTCCCATGTCTGTCTTGTTCTCTTGCTTCCACGTCCATGATCATGCTGGTGTTTTCCTCTTTTGTAATCGTCTGATCTGTCTTTGCTGTCCGCACCCCCGGTCTCTGTTTCTTCAACACATTCTTAAATATTTTTCCCTCCTTGTCAAATTCCCTTTCCTTTCCTGGCCCTATTTTGTTTTTTTCTTATGTGTCCAAATGTGCCATGACCTTTTTTTCACTCCAACTTTTTTTCTCCCTGTTCTGAATTCACTGTATCTGAAGCAGGATATGCTGATAAGGCTTTGCACTGAGGTTTTGCGATAAATGGCATCACAACTTGTCTTGTAGTTGAGGAGAACAGCACTGGATGTGATGTGTGTGTTTGGGTGGAGATGGATTAAAAACAAAATGTCTCAGACTCATTCTACCTCAGGAACCAGCCGAAGACAAAACAATTCAACAAAGCATAATGTCGATACTGTAGTTGGATCAGTTGGTATCCAGTGACAGTGTCACCTCTCGGGGTCAGGTCACTCCTTTCTGGGAAAAAGAATGAATTGAACAGCTTTTTTCTTTGCAGTACGTAACTGAAAATATACTCTAATGTGTTTCACCAATAGGGTGACCTTTGGTAGGGAGTTGCAAGCTGAAGGGCAAAAACATTTCTCGTAATGAGGTACTGTGTATTATCAATTTTCAACATGGATATTTAAAATTAAAAACCTAATTGACCAAAAGTGTGTATCCATATTTCAGATTGTTATCTGAATCTTATGATGTTATATATTTATTGGGGGCTGTAATTCTGCTATCACTTTATATTTCAGTCTCTATTTAAACACTATTGGTTTTTGAGTGTATGTTGATGTCACACCCTTCTAATCCTAGGCTGCCTCCTTGAGAGCGATGCTTTAGCACGAGAAGGCTGACTTCTCGTGATTAATCTGCAGTCGGCACGCCTAATTACATCTCATCAAGCAATCACCGAATGCGATGATTATTTATTCCTTGACGGCATCCTCTTCGGTCTGCGAAAAACATTAGGGACTCTCTGCCCCGGGTGTCGTCTGTGAGAACACGACGAGCAAGCGGAGAGGGCAGAGCTGAGGGAATCAGGAGAAGAGGATCAACGGAGGGAGAGGCAGAAACTGAGTAGGGAGGAGGAAGAGAGAGTGTAAAGACAGAGGATGGATGGAGAGTGAAGGGAAGAGGATCATTTAGCAGTGCTTTGATATGCAGCTCACGTTCTCGGTCCCAAGAAAGAATACGAGCGCCAGTGCGTTCTGTACATGTCTATGTGCGTTCTGATGAGTGTTATTCATGGCTCTGTGAGAGGCCAGCTGCTGGGTCAGTGGAGGTCTGGGAAGATGGTGATGAAAGCCTCCTGATGATGATCCCGCCCGCCATCAGACAGTAATTCATCACATGGATTAAGAGGTGAACAATCGCCTGTCTGAACATGGATCTGTGTGATTAGGACGAAAGCATGCACAGAGCCACTCAAATTGATTCCTTTTAATTTCCGTACTGACCCCAATAGATGACACACAGCCCTTTTGCAACACCTGTTTTTTGAGCAAGATTTGTAGAGTAGAAACACTGTTAAATGTCTCATTCTTCAGATCAACATTTAAATAAAAACACTGTAAATCACTAAAAAGAAGATGGTAGAGGTGCTTTGTATATTTATCTTTAAAGCCATATCCTTAAGCTGAATTGAGTGTTCTCAGTCAGTACGGTCAGTGAGCAGTGACAGTACTGAGCATTGTAGTTAGCTCATTCATGATATGTTTCACTTCCAGGTTAAGAACCCACTGAAAGGCTGAGAAGTCCACAGAAACAGTGATGATGTGATAACTCTATTGCACAGCCAATAACCTTATTAACAGTATGTAGGCCTAGTTTTGTGCTGAACTGAATGAGACAGTTTGAACAAGCAACTGACTGAACTTTGGTGTTTGGTTTTTAATCTGCTAATAGAATGGGGATGTGACCATTTAGATTAAATTGATTTTTTGACCACCTGGGGGCAGCGAACACAACGTTGACATATCATCACCTTTTAAGTTGATACGTTGTTGATTGATTAAAGGCCATTCAATAACAACGGCCATGCCATCAAATGTATGAAATACGAAAAGTTTATTGCACATAATGAACAAATGTAAACAGATGTGGTATACTGAGGGATGAGGGGATGAAGGGATGAAGGGATGAG